AGGAACAGGAAAAAACTCAAAGACCAGTCCTATAAAGGGGCCCAAATTTAATTGGGCCAGACTGTGGCACAGTGTATAGCCTAGGACATTATTAAAAACATGAATAAATCAGCAGTTAGTGGACTCTAATAGCTGGGTGTGATTGCAACAGAGACAGTTCAACAGAGGTCAAGAGAATAGAGAGTGCCCTGCTGAAACCAGTCATCGCAGGTGGTTGTGTCACCTAGAATGGCATCCTCTAAAGAAGGACATCAGAGGCTTCACACTGCACAGATCTGAAAAGGTGAAGAATCAAAAACCTTGAAGATGGATTGGTACAAATTGCATATACAAACAGCAGAGAATACAGAATGAACAAAAATGATCAGTACCTGAGATAAATAGGAGACATGATTAAGAGCAGCAACATTATGATGCACTCTCTACCAGCAAGAGAACAAAATAGAAAAATTATTCAATGAAATAATAGCTTAAAACTCAAATGTGATGAAAAAACAGTAATCTACACATCAAAAAGGCTCAATATATTCCAACTAGGATAAATGTAAAGAGATTCACAGCCAGATGTTGTCTAAAAGAAAGAAATCAACCAAAAGAACAATTCAGCAAAATGATCTTTCAAAGATGACATCATTCCTCAATAAACAGAGAATTTGTTGCTATCAAAGTATCATACAAGAACTATTTTTATAGAGATTTATTTATTTATATATGTAAGAATGGGGGTACAGGCCAGAAGTGTGGGGGGTGAGAGGGTTCGCCAGAGACAGAGTGGGGAACAGAACAGGAAGATTAATTGAAATACACTGTTGAGGGGAGCAGTGGGTGAGTCAGGAGAGGTCTGCTGCACCATGTGGGTTGCTCCCTGGCTGGCTCGGGATTGGACTTGTGCTACAGTGGCTGCAGACAGCTTCGCAGACTGCGTCTTAACCCTTGTACCACCAGGGAGGCCCCATCTTATAAGAACTATTAAAGGAAGTCCTCTAGGTTGAAAGGAACAGTAATTTAAATCTATGTGAAAAAAAGTAACAATGTAATTATAAGAGATACAGGAAATGCATATTTTCTCATCCTTTCTTATTTAAAAAGTAATTGTAAAAAATGTATATGTAATTGTATTGGGGGCATCAAACATGTAGATGTAATTGATCACAACAGCAAAAAAAAAAAAAAAAAGCAAAGTTATATGGTAATGAAGAAATGGTGCTGTATGCTAATTAAAAACACAAGGGTAGATGGAAAGAACCAGAAACAGTAAATAATAGTTAATTTAATGAACTTTATAAATATATGCTCGCTCTCTTTTCCTCTCTCAACTCTCAAGAGACACAAATTTAAAGTGATTATTCCAACAATGTATCGTTTAGTTTGTAATTTATATATAGTTGTGGCATGTATAACAATAAAAGCACAAAGGGGAAATAGACAACAGAAATATATTGGAATAACTTTTCTGTATTTCATTGGAGTTAGTATAAATCTGAAGTAGAGTCTGAAAGTTAAAATGTATTTGGTAAGCCTACAGCAACTACTAAGAAAATAACTCAAAAAGTATAGTGAAATGGTATAATAGAAAATATTCTTTAATACAAAAAAGAAAGCAGTAAGAACAGAGGAACAAAATATTGTTATGGGTTGAACTGAACCTCCCACAAATTTTTATGTTGGAGTCCAAACTCCCAGTACCTCCCAGTATCTTACCTTATTTGGAGATCCCAGGTCTTCATAGAGGTAATCAAGATAAAAACGAGGTCTCTGCGGTGGGCCCTAATACAGTACCAGTGGTGTCATTAGATGAAGAAATTTGGACACAGACACGGACAGAGGGAAGATGGTATGAATAGACCCCCAAAAAATGACAATCTTCAATTCAAGAAGAGAGGTTTGGGGCCTCCCTGGTGGCATAGCGGGTTGAGCATAGCGCTGTGAAGCTGTCCGCAGCCTCTGCAGCGCGGGTTCGATTCCCGGCCAGCCTGCGAGATTCCCATATGGCGCGGCAGGCCTCTCCTGCCTTGCCCGCTGCTCCCCTCAGCACTGTCTTCAGTCTGTCTGCCTGTTCCACTCCCCACTCTGTCTCTGGTGAATGCTCTCACCCTCCTGCGCCTCTGGCCTGTACCCCAGCTCTTGTATAAAAATAAATAAATCTTAAAAAAAGAGAGAGAGGCTCGAACAACTCAGAAGGTGCCCACACTGCTGACAACTTGATCCCAGACTTCTAGCCTCTAATCATGTGGGACAACAAATTTATGTTGGTGAAGCCCCCCAGTTTGTGCTACTTTGTTATGGAAGCCTTAGAAAACTAGTATGTTTATAGGAAACAAAAAGTTAAATGGCAAATATAAATCTATACCAATAGTAACATTAAGTGTGAATAAACTAAACATTCCAATAATAAAGCAAAGATTATCAAACTGAATAAAAGATAAGACCCAACTATGTGCTGTCTATAGCAGACACACTTTTAAGATACAAAAAACTAAGTATAAAAGGAAGGAAAAGATTGCTTGCAAACAGTAGCCATATGAAAGCTGGAGTGACTATATTAATACCAGGCAAAATAGGCTTTAATATTTAAAAAGTTAAAGATAGACATTTATTACAACAGTCAATCCATCAGAAAGATATGACAATTATAAATATATATGCACTTAAAACCAGAGTCAGAATTATATGTAAGGATAACTAAATCATGGAGAACTATGATGATATCTGATGGAGAAAACCCTAATGTTGCCACAATTAAAAGGATTATTATTATTTTTTTTAATGAAGGGGGAAATACACAGTTCAGAATACTCAGAGTCTTCCATACTCCAATTTCCATCATTGATATATCTGGGAAGAAAGTGGACAAGAACTGACCAATACTGTAAACCAAATGGACTTAATGGAAGACTCCCCCTAACAACAAGGCAATATCTCTTCTTCACAAGTGTAACATGAACATCCTCCATGACAGACTTTACATCAGGCAACAGAAAAAGCCTCAATACAGTTTAAAAAGATTTTAAATCATACAAATGATGATCTCCACAATTAATTGAACTTACAAATAAGTAACAGAAGAAATATGGAGAATTCACATATATGTTGATATTGAAACAACACATGCCTAAATATCCAACAGGTGAAAGTAGATGACACAAAAGGAATCAGAATACTTCAGTAAGAAAATTTACATTAAAGAAGTACTTACAGGAAAATATGCCGCTTATATTAAATAAGAAAAAAATCTGAAATCAATTAACTTAATATTTTAGTTTAAGACAAATAAAAGAGCACACTCAATCAAGCAGAAACAAAGATTATACTAGAAATTAATGAAATGTAAAATTGGGGAAAAAAATCAGCAAAACCAAAAGATCTTTAAAAAGATCAACAAAACCTTGATAGCTAAACTAACAAAAAGAGAAGACTCCCCCATGACTAAAATCAGTATGAAGGCGGGAACATAACTACAAACCTTATAAAAATGCAAAGCTGATACTCCGAACAACTATATGCCAATAAATTATCTAGATGAAATGGACAAATTCCTAGAAAGAGACTACTAAAAGTGACCCTTGAAGTAATAGAAAATCCAACTAGATCTGTAAGAAGAGATTGATAAGCAATAACTTTTTAAACTACGCAGAAAAGTCCAGGACCAAGTGGCTTCTTGTTGAATTCTACAAAACATTTAAAGAATACTTCACAAACTATTCCAAAAAATAGGAAACTCAACTCTTTTTATGAAATCAACATCACCCTTATTCAAAAAAAGACATTACAAGAAAACCTACAGACCAGTATCTCAAAACTAGAGACAGAAAAATCAACAAAATTTTAGCAACCAAATTGAGTAACATATAAGAAGTTTATAAATTTTGATCAAGAGATATAAAGTATTATACATCATGACCAAGAGGAGTTGATCCCAGTAGGCATCATTGGTTCAACATCCAAAAATTAACACATAGATATTAATAAAAACAGTATATGATCATCTCAGTAGTTGCTGGAAAAGCATTTAACAAAATAGAACACCACTTTGTGATCAGAAAAAATACTAGGAATATAAAGGAACATCCTCAATCTCAAAAAAGGCACCTATGAAAAACTCCAAATCAAATGTATGCTATCAGCTGATAAGTATGTCTATTCCATCCTCGAGCTAGGTAAGTGATCACAGGGTGGGTTTAGGAACCCACTGAACCAACTATGAGCTAAAACTCCACTGATCACCTGACCTCCATGAGGCCCTATTTTGACTGACGGACTACAATGCTACTGGGGCTGTGGGAGTTAGTGTCAGTATAGAGCTCGTGTCCAATTGTACCTGAAAGGTCTGATTATTTCCTTTCCCCAGTACACAGTTACTCTGGCAAATGCCCACAGTCCCTTTGGGGAAGGCTGGGAGACATATTAACAGCATATATTTTGGTAGTGTACAGAGGTCTTTGTCGAGGATATATGACCCTTTCATCATTCAAGGGGTTTTATTTCTTTAAACTGACTCAATTCTGGGAGAGGCCAGGTCTCTGTTTTTATGATTCAGCTTTCTTATTCATGTAACTTAGCATTTTCCTGCTTATACAGATCAAGAATTTTAGATTTCCTATTTATTTTATTTCTAGATAGAACGTATTTCATTAGACAGCCCATACTTCTGCACAAGTCAGATAATTATGATTGTTGCTTTGACTCTTATAAATTATGGTGACCATGCCCACCTTGCCTTTCATGGTCAAGTGCTGCCACTTGGACCCTCCCATCCTGAGGATCCAATTACTCCAACTTGCATTTAGGTTTCCCAAAGCACTGACAGCATTTCCTACTGTGAGGTCTGGACTACAGAGGAGAGTGATCACAGAGCTCTCCAAGGATGCTGAGGCTCTCCTTACAAATTTATTACTATAGTCATGGTGTATGTTTTGGACTCTCTCAATGTGGATGAGTAAATCCTAAATGACAAATACAATGTCATTTTAATCTAAGTCTTTGAATCCTTTTCTCTACAGTAAACCAAGCCATGTCTGGCATTCCCATCTTGCTCATGGTAAGTGACTTTTTGATCTATATTTCATCATCCTGAAAGGGGATAATCTGAAAGATTTCCCCCTAAAATAAAGAACAAGACTCTTACTTCTTCTATTCTACTTTATCCTGCATGCTCTCATCAAAGCAATTCGGTAACAAAATAAGACAAAAGACATCAGATTGTCAAGGAAGAAGTAAAACTATCTGTTTGCAGATGTCATGATCATGTATATGGAATAACTCCCATGTACCTATTAAATATTATTAGAATTAGCAAATGAGTTCAGCCAAGTTGCAGGCTATAAGACCAATATAGACAAATCAGTTGTATTTCTACACAATAGCAATGAATAACCCAAAAATACTATTAAGAAAATAATTTCATTTACAATTACAGTAGCAAAGAAAGAACAACATGCTCAGAAATAAGTTTCACAAAAGAAATGCAAAACTTATATTCTGAAAACTATAAAATACAGCTGAAATAAATTAAAGACCAAATTAAATGACAAGTATCCTCTGTTCATGCATGGGAAGATTTAAGTATTGTTTAGATGGCAATATAATAGACCCCCTCCTTATCTGTGATGTTCCAAGACCATCAGTGAGGGGATGCCTGAAATCACATATGTATAGAACCCTTTATACATTTTAGAGTAACAGTTACTAATAATGAAATATAACAATTATAATATGCTATAATAAAAAGGTATGTGAATGTAGTCTCAATATATATTGTACATAATATTTTTGGACTATGGTGAATCACAGGTAGCTGAAATTCTAAAAAGTAAAACAAGATAAGGGGGGGCACTACAAACACTACTCAAATTTATCCACAGATTCAACACAATCCCCATCAAATTGAACCTGGATTCTTTGCAGAAATTGAGAAGCTGACCCTTAGATCTATATGGAAACTTAAGGGACCCAGAATAGCTAAATTAATCCTAAAAGAGAACAACATTGAATGACTTACACCTTTCAATTTTAAAACTTACTACAAAGTTATAATAGTCAAGAAAGCATGATAGCTAGCATAAAGACAGACAAATAGAATGAATAAGCTTGAGAGTTCAGAGTTAGCTCTCACATTTATGGTCAATTGTTTTCCAACAAGTATGACAATACAATTCAATTAAGGAAAGAATAGTCTTTCCAACAAATGATACTAGGATAACTCAATATCCATCAGCAGAAGAATGAAGTTGGATCCCTGCCTCACACCATATATATAAAAATTAGCTCATACTAAATGTAGTAATCAAGATGTAAGTGCAAGAAGCAAAGACTTAGAAAAAAAAAATCACAGGCATAAATTTTCATGACCTTGTATAGAACAATGGTTTCTTAGCTATAACAAAAGGAAGCCCAAGCTACAAAGAAAAATAAATAAATTGGACTTCATCTAAATTAAAAGCTTTTATACTATAAAGAACTCCGTTGAGAAAGTTAAAACAAAATCCACAGACTAAGAAAATATTTGCAAGTCATTTATTTGATAAGGGATATAAAGCTCTTGCACCTCAATAGTAAAACGATAATAACCACCTCCACCAAATTAAAAAGGATATCTGATTAGATACTTTTTCTAAGAAGATGTAAAAATGGCCAATAGGCATGTGAAAAACTGCTTGACACCATTAGTCATCAGAGAAATGAGAATTAAAGGTATAACGAGATACTACTTTATACCCACTAGAATGGCTGTGATAAAGTAAAAGTTAATGAAATTGGAACCTTCATACACAACTCAAATTGTAACATGGTGCAATCACTTTGGAAAATAATCTGGCAGTATCTAAAAAGGTTAAACAAAGTTATCATATTGCATGTTGCAAAATTGCATGTAACAACATTTTCCTAATTGCCAAAGAGTAGAAATATCCCAAATGTCTCAAACTGATAAATGTGGTATATCCATAAATGGAATACTATTCAGCCATATGCAAGAATGAAGTACTATACGCACTACAACATGGACGAATGTTGAAAATACAGTAAGTGAAAGAAGCCAGTCACAAAAGACCACGTACTATGTGATTGTGTATTTATAGGAAATGTCCAGCTTAGGAAAATCAATAGATAGAAAGTAATTTTGTGGTTGCCAAAGGGTGGAAGGTTTGGGTACACATGGGGAGACTGCTAGTGGGTACAGGCTTTTTTTATTAAGAATAAAAATGTTCTAATATTAATTATGGTGATGGTTGTACAACATGATGAATATACTAAAAAATATTTAATTCTCTACTTTAACTCTGAACTTTATGGTATGTGAATTATATCTCAAAGTTGTTAAATATAAAAGACAATTTTACCATGTTTAATTTGTATAAAATATGTTCACTCTTCTGTTGAGGTTATTAAAATATCCCAGAAACCAACTCACAATTCCCCACAGCTCTGGGCTTCTTTGGGAAAATACTGCCCTGAACCAAAGACTATTTTTAGCTGTAAGTGATTAGATGAAAAGTTAAGTCAAAATCTGGTAAAACTCCTCTCTGTTCTCTCTGCTACTTGTGAAATGGGGACTTGCTCAGGGTATGGCTGCTGCAGGTAGACAAGTCAGTTAGCAAGTGAGTGATGAATTTTAGAGTGATAGGAGACCCTAGAGGGGACAGGAGACTGGCAGTGTGAACAAAGGAGGGAGGGGGCCCAGTGGCCTAGGGTAAAAGACTGTGGTTGCTTTGATGGTGGGAACAATGTGGTAATACACAGCTGAGGAAAATGTACATCTTCTAAATCATGGTTTACAGTGTTGTAAACCAATGTGCGCTCTCTCTCTCTCCATATGTGTGTGTGTGTGTGTGTGTGTGTGTGTATACACAAAGAGTATATGTATGTGTATGTATACATACACACACATACACACACAAAGAGGGGATTCTAGAGACCACCTAAGAGGTATCGCTTGAAAATATGTGTGTCTTGGTGTGGATTTCCCCAAAGCAAACTCTGAAATAAAGACTTGGGTTCAGGTAATCTACTTAGGTAGTGATCCCAGGAAGAAAAAAATTAAAGGGGAAAAGTAAGACACAGAAGGAAGAAAAGCCAATAAAATGTGTACTAAAGCATGGTTTGTTGATGTCTGTTGGAGTTAAGTCCTGCTGAAGATATTGTGAAAAGACATGTAGAATGTCTCAAAATTGCTCCACAGGAGTTCAAGGAGACTAAGGCCTGTATCTACCAGCTCACATATCGCCCTAGCTGGGGAATGGTTAAGAGGGATTGACTCTCCACAATTCTGGGCTAAGTCTCTCTGTTGTGGACAAGCTTCTGTTGAAGAAATCATTAGTGATAAGAGAGGGACATTTTCTCCTAGTGCCCAGTCAACTTTCTCTTAGTTTCATCAGTACTTGAAAATATCTACTTCCCCACCCTAGTTACCCTTTTTAAAACCTTATTCTGAGTCTTTGTTATACAAAGAATACATTCTGCCAACTTGAATCCAAGTTTCTCTGTACCATCCACCCAATAATCAATGGAAAAACAATCTAATCACATAGATTAATACCTGCATAGATAAAATTTTACCACTATAGATTAGGAAATGTCAATATAAAGAAAGACAAATAAGGTTCTTTAGTAGAGTTGGCCCTTGCACAACATAGATTTGAACTGCAGGGCCCACTTATCTACAGGGTTTTACATTCAGTGCTCCAATCAGCTGTGGATGTTGGTTGGTTGAATTTGCAAGTATGGAAACCATAAATCTGGAGGGTCCATTAGTAGCAACTTGAGCATCAGGGATTTTGGTTCTTTGGTGAGGGACAATGGTTCTGAAACCAATCACCTGTGGATACCCAGGGACAACAACAGTTAGTTTTTGAGGTATCAAAGGTTACCTGTAGCATCTCGACTAATCAGGAGTCAGTGTCCCAACACCCAGGTTGTTTAAGGTCAACTGTGTCGGATTTGCAGAAACTTCAATGTCCCTATGAGTCTTAACTATCTTCAAGGTATTTCTCAAGTGTATTTGGCCAGGAAAGAATTTTTCACAGATCATATAGAAGAGAGAATAGGAGTCCATCAAGAAAGTGACATGCATAAATCACGCTGTAAGTTAGTGATGCAGCCACAACTTGAACCCAGACCTCCTGGCTCTCAGATGGCAGCAGGGTATTTAGGACTGGTGATGGACAGCTTGTGGGTTGCTCCTTTCTTTATTATTTGTACATTAGAGGAAGGTCATCCTTCCAGTCTTAACCCGAAGAATGAAAAGATTTGTAACATTCTTATAATCTGCAACTGTCAACAAGTAGAAGCAACTAAATAAAGACAAGTCAAAACTATATGCATACTCGGACCTGCTGTAACAGAGGTGACTGTTTAGCAAAAGTTCTTGGTCCCTCCCTCATGTGAGTCTGTAGGGATCTAACTATACAGCCAGGTAATGTCTATGTAATAAGTTCTCACTAAGGGATGTTAAGGGGTTGGGGGTGGATTTAAACAGAAAAGATATTTTCTACACTGTCTTGCCTCTCTGCTACTTGGGTGTGGAGAGCTCTGAGGCCCTAAGAATGGCAAAACCATACAGTCAAGGAGGCGTGCACTCAGAACCTGCATGTGGAGGGATGTCACTGGCTACAGAGACCCTTACATGAACAACAAATAAACTATTGTGGTTAGTCACTGAGTGTTCTGTATTTAATACAGCAGTTCTTATTGCACTAGTTAATATACTGAAAGATAAAAGGAGATATAGAACAAGAGAAGATATTAGGGATGGCAAGAAGTATGGATGATGCATTCATAAATTTTGGGACAAAGCTCTTTCCATCTCAGCGGGAAAGAACCTGGAAAAAAAAACAGACCAGCCCTTATTCTCAGGGACCAAGGGGGCTGGCACAGATGCAGTATCCCTGACACCATGCCCTCTCACCCCATCTTCATTCAATCACTAAATCACATCATCTCCCTAAATGTTCTTCATAGAATTTATTTCTTTCTGTTCCCACTGTCAGTATCCCAGGCAGAGTCATCTCTGTATTTTGGATGATTTACCCCAAATACTCTTTA